ACAGAGAAAAAATAATCCCTTCTGCCAGGATGACTATAAACATGTAAGACTTTTAGAGCAAAGTCAAGCCAGTGGTTATCCTCAGTAACATCTTATGCCATGCAGATAAGGTCCCAGTCACATTATGTTTTGGATATGCGGGACTTGTTGTCGAAAGAGGCAATTCTCAGAACCCGCACAATTCCGGGAAACACACGTAGCTAGGTTACCATTCTCACTTACAACAAAGACTTGAACGCCAAACAGTAATCGATTTTTGCTCAAATTGGGATCACATGATCCTTCAGAAGCAGAACTTTTGTCTGATTGGTTGTTTCTACCCAGGATCCAAGACGTTTTCGGTGAGGTTTGAAAAAATCCCGCGTAGCCACAACATTATTTCCGTAGCTAGGCGGGACTTCGCTTCCAGCAGGGCTCTTTTTTCTAGGAATCCTCCCATTTAAACCAGTGCTACCAGAATCTCGTTTCTCAGAAAAGTCACGTCTCTAGCAGGGACTACAGCCATATGTGATAACCTCTTAATTCTTTAATTTCTAACTCACCGTCTTGATCCTCATCTTGCTTGAAATGTTTAATAGTCGATATGCTATTAGAGATTTCTAATAAAACATTAGCATTACTTCAAAGAAACCATCAATAAATCAGGAATAAGTTGACAATATTTTTATATATTGTTCACTGGCTTTAACATGCCAAACAAATGGAGTACTGAATATTAGGAAATTGAAGTTTATGAATAATTCCAGTAAAACATTGATTTTTATGAAAACAACTACATAACTTTATATACACATTACGTAGTACTCTTATATTAAAATAAAAACATTACAAAATTATGCTAACTGGGGAGTAATAAAATTTGATGTACTATAGAGATCCTTTTCTCTTTTATCGTATATTTATTATACACTGAAGTAACTTATTTAAATATTTGTGTTTACATGTATTACTTTATGTTTGTCTTTTACATGCATCATTCATATACGAGGGTTGGAAATTTAATAGTGGCAACTCAGCTGAAAAACCGCTATGCAACAAAACCAAAGAATATCGCATATACCACACATAAACTACATACCTACCTTCCTCTCAGCAAAAAGACTTGTCCTGCTTACGTCATGCACATGCAGAGTGACGTGAAGAACGGATTATTGTATTAGCTCGCGGTCTAAAGTAAGTGTTGTCAGGATGTTTTCAAAACAAGAACAATGATGTTGGATAAAAATTGCATGTGCCAGAGGTCGTACAGCACGACAGTGTCATCAAGAGCTTCAAGAGGCTTGCGGGGAATCTGCATTGCCTTACAGAATCGTCGCAAGATGGGTGAAAGCATTCAATGAAGGACGCCAAAACGTGGCAGACATGATGCGGCCAGATCGTCCGAGTGTCAGCGATGCAGACATGCAAGCTGTTGCCGCACTAATGGACAGTGATCGCCACCAAACGATTCGTCAGCTGGCTGGACAAACAGGATTAGCGCATACGACTGTGCTGCACATTCTGAAGGAATGCCTGTCCATGAGAAAAATTGCTTCACGATGGGTTCCACATCAATTGACGGAAATGCAGAAATGGCTACGATACGATGCTGCTCGAACCCACCTGGAGCACGAAGCAGATGCTTTTTTACGCCGTATCATTACGATGGATGAGACTTGGGCCCGATCGTACCAGCCAGAACTGAAACGGCAATCAAATGAATGGCGTCATCACAGGTCACCCATGACGTTCGAAATTTCGTCAGAACCCCAGCAATGTGAAAGTTATGGTGATTCTCGTGTATGACTGTGATGTTGTCATCCTAACGCCACTGCGCAGTATTACTGCTCATTTTTGGAGCAAAATCTACGACCAGCTTTGAGAAATAAAACGGCGACACTTTCTGCAGAAAGCTCCTCTCATTTCGCATGGCAGTGCTCGGCCGCATGCAGTGCAAGCTGTGACTGATTTGTTTAAGGGATGGATCTGGGACGTGCTTTACCATCCACCATAATCCCCAGATCTAAGCCCTTGTGACTATGACTTAATTCCTAAGATGAAGGAACCACTTCGTGGCACTCGCTTCCAAACTGTTCCTGAGATTCTTGCGGCAGTAGATCGGTCCATTCAAACTATCAACAAAATAGGCGCTGCTACAGGTATTCTGCGACTTCCACATCGTTGGAAACGGGTTGGCTGGCGACTATATTGAAGGACTGTAAAACATGGTGACATGAATCACTTTTGTATTCCTTGTAAATAAATAGGTGCCACTATTAAAGTTCCAACCCCCGTATTTTGTGCATTATGTTATGTTTACTTATTGCTTAATTTATATTATTTGTGTGCATGCGATAGCTTCATTATAGTTACTCTGTGTAAGTAGACAGCAAGAATAGGAAAATCTCTGCATTAAGAAGAATCATTAGTGCAAGCTTTTTGAAGTATACTGCACCATGTTGATAAAATCAGAATATTCTACAATTCAGTTTCAAGAAGGTAGGGCATATGTTTCTAAAATAGTCTAATTTTTAATTTGTATATCAAGCCACTTCTGCATATCTTGTTACATTTATATAATTTTGCAATTTTCATATACCAAGTTTACCTAGGCTCATTGGAAAAGTTCTATGGTTTCTCAGATGGCAGTGCACTTTCTTTCAATTATTTTATTACTGCTGCTAAGAAGTGACCTTGTTTGAAGTGGATGTTTAAGTACCGTCTTTTCGTCTCGCATTATGTAATTCTACCATATGGTTGTGACATACTTTTTTTTCAGTGTAGGGCTAAAAATGAAGACCTCAAAAAGTCCATTTCCATCATATTTTACCCTATTAAAAAAAGGGGGGGCTAGTCGGCCTGCTCATAAAATTTTTGCTGTATACAGAAAAGTACATTTCCTGATCACATAGTTTTAAGGTGATTCGAAAAGCGTGGAAATTTCCACCTTGAAGATGATGTGACTCAAAAGGACCACTCTCTGTCAACATGAACCTATTAAAAGAAGCTACAACTGAAAATCCTTGATACTCTATTCAGGAACTATTAGAGAGTATAAATATTCTAAAAAATACAGTATATCATCATTTAAAGAAGACTGGCTATGTAAACCTCTATGATGTATAGGTACTGCATACTTTAATTTTGCTTGAGTATAAAGGCACATAATTCTTTGTTGAATTTTTTGTATTTGGCCCATAATTCTTTGTTGAAAACATTTTTTTTTTTTTTAATGGATTACTACTAGGACATGAAAGGTGAATCTATTATACAATAACATTACAAGATAAAGATCACGGGATAAGACAAAAGAACCCTCCCTAAAGACATCGAAAGAGGACAACTGTTCTCACAAGAAAAAGATCATGGGATAAAACAAAAGAACCCTCCCTAAAGACATCGAAAGAGGACAACTGTTCTCACAAGAAAAAGATCACGGGATAAAACAAAAGAACCCTCCCTAAAGACATCGAAAGAGGACAACTGTTCCCAAAAATGCTTTGTGCATGGTGGAATTAGAAAGGAACTATACACTATGAATTGTTGTTATCAAATCAGACAAATTCGTAAAAATACTGTTTCCGAGAGGAATATGTGAACATCTTTTATAATGCAAAATATAATAGTTATCCAAAGGGAATGTCTTGAAAAAACACCTTGAAATGAGAAAAGTTTTAATGTTTTTAAACAACCTTTCATGGTTCAAAATGCAATATTTGAAATTAAAGACAGTTTTGGTGATGTTAATTGGTTGATGGAGGTATCTTACCTTTTTTAAATAAATTTAATCTTTTGTTACGAGGCAACAAAGTAAATAATATAACTGTATTTAAAGCACAACAAAAGATGGGAGTTGCAATGAAAAAGCACACTTTCCACACATGGAAGCAGGAAATTATACTGCTTTTTTGAATCTAACTGAATTGCAAAATCAATAAAATGTTAGTTCCACGTCTAATGATAATTCAACTGATATCAAAGAACATCTAATAGGAATGCAAACAAATCTGAAAGAATATTTTACTTTAATTCATAGCAACAATACATGGATAAGATATCTTTTTACAATTAATACAGAATCAGAGACGGGATTTTTAAATTCAGATACTAAATCCATAACTGAACTGTCTTGTGATACAGTGCTTAGAGACAGCTTTGACAAAATACCATTGATAAATTTTTGACTATCCTATCTCCAAGAGTATCCATTTTTGGCTCAAAAAGGCAATTAATGGCTTATTAGTTTCTTATTAATTTATTATTAATAATTAGTTTCTAATGCTTTTTGTTATAACTTGTAAATAGGAAACAGTTTTCTCAACATTTGTTTTTCTAAGGAATAAATAAAGAAACCAATTAGATGTCAAACCAAATTTAATAATAGTTTTCGTCTTTTTCTGTCAACTTGAAAGTTCCATTCATGAGAAATAGCATCACACTTTCCATTAAAACTTTTTTTTATACTTTTGTATGTATTTTTTGTTATTTTCACAATAAAGGGAAAATGCTCAAACATTAAAATTTGTTGAATTTACCAATAAGCCATAAACATTTTTGCTGGGTCACAAAGGGAAAATATTAAAACAACTGAGTCACAAAAAAAGTTTGGAAAACTCTGCTATGTAAAATCAGAGATGAGAAATAACAGGGGAAACTTAAAAAGAGATTGTTGAAATGATCAAAATTAAAACATAGTAACTCATATAATTCTTTCCCAATATGCAGTAATATAATTCTTTTCCTAATAAAATTTCAACTAATCATAAAAGAAAGAGGGAAGAAAAGATATATTTCTTCATATATTATGCTAAATCTTATATTATTTTCTTCAACAAACATGTAAAGAATGAATATAAATATATTACATACTCTTTTACTTTGGAAGATTTTATCATTTCTCTGCAGTACAAATTATGTGCATAAGAATAAAACAGAAATAAATTTTAACCTAGCTTACAAACTTTGCATCTTCATTGCTATTAGGAATATTCACACAAAAACTTAAAATAACACAACACATATAATTACTTGCATGCTTTTTATTGCCATCAAAGAATACAGTACAAGAAAGTTATAAATTTCAGCTAATACCCTAGCATGCAAAATGTATATTACAGGCAATAAGGATGGTCCTTCAAAACAATAAATATGTTAAAAAATAACTCATTGTGTTTCAAGATGTAAAGGAATGTCCAAGATGCGCAAAAGAGCTTATGGAGTGCAACGATCAATAAATCGTGGATATAGACATGTATCTCGTATATGGTATCTGTTCAGAAGCCAGGTAAGAAATCTTTCAAGCCCTAGACCATACCCACCATGAGGACAACTACCATACTTCCTCTGAAAAGTAAAGAAGATTACGATGTGTCATGGAAAATATTTAAAATATTTTATTTCTATATTAATCATGCAACAGAATTGTAAAGTACTTTTCATCAAACAAAGATAACAATTGAAAGACTATGTTTAATTAGAAAGTGTAATAAGTTATTTGATAAAAATAATTAATATTCTACTAAAATTTTAAAATATATTTCTGATGCACGTTAAAATCATTTTAATCAAGGCAAAGCATAATGGCTGTTTGTCTATGCAACATCCTATTTTGATTATAAATAGCACATGTAGAAAAAATCACAGATCTAATATTTTTGTTTCCCTATCCCCAACCTCACAGGGCCACTTCTGATCTAAATATTTTAAATGCTTAACCCCCCCCATGAAAACACTCAAATGTCTGGATTTTACCCAGGACTTGAGAACTCAAAGTCCAAATGTCAGCCTCTGCTACAAAACTACAGCTACAGAAGTGGCTTGTTTTCATCATAGTAATATTTTATAGTCTGTATGCTCCTTCAAGTGCTCAGTACTTTAAACTTTTGATTTATTTTCCCCTTTTTTGACTGGAGTGTTACTTAGCAGCCACTGTGAAAAATAATCACTTCCACAATTAATTGCTAAAGTTGACTGCTGATTAGAAATAAGTCCTACACTGCACACTATTCCAGTCAGTAACTATTTTGCATATTTTTAATTAATTCTTACAACATTTAATGGACAGGAGTATTTTTGCCCAATAGAAAATAAAATGCAACACTTTATATAACGTATTTTCTCCCTTCTTCCCACATGCCTTCATGGTGTGACTGGAAGCATGCTCGATGCATAGGCGGGAGGTCCTGAATTTGAATCTCAGCAAGCCCATTTCTTCAGTTTCCTGATTATGGAAAAAATTCCAAATGACTTTAAACTGCCACTCAAATTAAAGGAGGTAGATGGAAATTTGCCATCACCAGGATTTGGAAACTGAGTCCCTTTGTCCCCATTTGCCCTCTAGAAGAGCGAGCAGATAAAGTATTTTCCCTCTCCTTTCCGTTTGCCTTCATGGTGTAAAGGGAAGCATGCTCAACATTATTCAGGAGTTTGAATCCTCACAAGGATAATATTGGTTTCTTCTGTTTCCTGACATCGAAAAAATCCTAATGACTCCACAACTTAAAAAAACTGTAATGGGAATCACAGCACCAACTTCCAACACAAATAACTGTACTCATCCCACAGCTTTTAATACTGCATCTTTAAATACTTATCGGTATATGTATAATCACTGCAAGAAAAATGCATTCTTGTGAAGTAAAATACCTCTTTCTTGTAAAAATAACTTGTATGCCACGTCATCGCTTTGAATCAAATGAAATTGATACCATGACAGTGCTTAAGAAATGAAAACTTTTGTAGTCACAATAAGAGAAATCTCAGAAACTTATATGGAAGAATAATACAAAACATTTGCAAGATATAAGTAAGTAACTGTATGCAAGAAATATATGCAAATATAATTTTGCCACATTTTATTTTTCTCTATAATGTTTTTTTATTTCCTGCTCAGTAGTTTCTTTTTTCCCACCACACAGTTTGTGCTTGGCGACTTTCTTAAATAGTAGTTGCAATAACAAAAATGGCATGTATATATTTTAAACATTTAATTTTAATAAGAGAAAAAGGGTTCTTAGATAATGAATTTCTCACAAGTTACAAAATGCAGCTAAAAACATTTTTTTTTTTTTTTTTTTTTTTTTTTTTTTTAATAAATAAGCATCAATATTAATGCTGCATTTTGTGCTTTCAGTAAATTTTATGTCTCAGCATATGCAATCTTTCCCATATCTTCAGCTATTTAGTTTCTACAACACATGACTGTAGGATGTGTAATGTTGTTCAGAGAAACCAAAATAGAATTTCTATGCAAGTAAATTTCCTTGCCCTTTCTACGGCATCACAAGATCATTGATTGCATCCTTCTTAAATCTCAAAAATTTTTTTTTTTTTTTTAAATTTCAATTTATAATAGATTAATATAAATAAAAAATATTACCTGATCTGTGTACCAATAGTAATTTTTTGGATCAATTCCAGCTTTAGCATATCCTTCCATTAATTCTTCATATTTCCACATCCTCATAGAACCACCTACAATTTCACCTACAGATGGCATAAGCACATCAACCTAAAAACAATAACAATATTAATAAAAATAATTCTTATACAATGACTGTAAAATTTGAAACTTCAAAAGAAGAAGAAAAGTTCTTAATCACCATCAAATATAATAGAATTAAACAGAAATGTTAGTATAAAAAAACATAGGTACATAGTAATTATATATTTTAATTTCATAAACATATTCTTTTGATATTCATTAATATATTAAAAGATTAGTTCCACTGACATATGATTTTGTTATTTCTACTTGCGTAAAGTAGAATTAAAAAAGGGCACAGAAAAAAAAAAAAAAAAAAAATTAAAATACCTTTTTTCCTGTCCCTCCAATGAAAAGGTACATCTCTTAAATTTATCAATCTAAATTAAACCTCAATAAAGGAGGGGACAATAAATAAAAATGAAAATTAATTGCAATTTTTATTTACATAATAACACTTAAATTTGGAAAGTTTAATATTTAAATTCATATTCAGTGCATTTTCATAAATAATTTTTCAAATTAATATCACAAAATTTTAGCTTTTATTTAATTATTTTCATATTGCAGATGTTCTTTTCTTCCTTCTGAATTTCCTTTTCAACACAGAACAATTTCCGACATGTAAGCAATTCAAAATGGATGCGTTTGTAAACAAAAAATCCCGGGGGGATTATTCAATTATGGCAAAGCACACGAGCGCTATCTGCCTAAAGGGAGGGATGCCTTCTTTGAGGACTTGCTAAGGGAAACTGGCTTGTATACACCTTATACATGGGGAAAACCACGAAAACGCTCATGCAGCCAGCCCCTTCGCGGGATTCGAACCTCAGACTGAACTACCAGTGTTCAGGGTCTTTACCGCTCGGCCACTGGTAGGCCCAGAAAACACCTGGGGCAACCTAAAGTGTCTATCATCTTATCTTTGTAGCTCTAAGAAATCAATTCAGAAATCAAATCTTGAACTTCAGTTGCCAATGAAGACACTTTGGCAGGTTTTAAGAAAACATTTGCACATGCATCCATACCGGTTAGGGTTGGTACATGCTTTAAAGCTCAGATGACTATGGTGCACACTTTAACTTTGCAAGTGAAGTTTTTGATCTGAAGGATGATTCTCTTGATTGTGTAGTGTTTAGTGACGAGTCAACTTTTCAGCTGAGTAGGAACCTAAACACCCATAATGTTCTGGGGGTCACAAAATCCACATGAACTTGTAGAACACCAAAGAGATTCCCCAAAATTAGAGGGGGTAAATCTGTAATTAGTAGAGGGTAAACCTGTAAACTTTATTTGGCAACAAGATGGGGGCCTCTCCTCATTCGAAACTCTTTGTACAAGAGTAGTTGAACGTCAAAGTTCCAGACCATTGGGTTGTTGATAATGGTTGAGACGATAGAACTCATTTTCATAGGCCTCCATATTTACCTGACCTAACACCATACAATTTTTACCTTTTGGGGCTTTGTGAAAGATCATATCTATGTTACACTACTACTTAACGATTTGCTAGAGTTGAGACACAGAACTGAAGTGGCTATTGCGCTGAACTTGTTAACCATGTACATGGAGGCCTATGAAATGGAACGTGAATGAGCATGGAGACCTATGAAAATGAGCTCTGTTGTCTTGACCATTATGACCAACCCAACTGTCTGGAACTTTGACGTTCAACTACTCTCGCACAAAGCTCGTACCCAAATTTGTGAGAAGAATTGGACTATAGGTTGGATGTATGTGCTTCGTATAACTAAAGATGCACATATTGAACATCAATATGATGTATGATTCATGTCTATGCAAACAGTCTAAATTAAACTATTATAATATACTATTGACACTGGGGCATTCTTTTACGGACACCATATAGTAAAGAAGAATCTATCCAACAAAAAAGCCCAATGAAACTTTGAACACCTTGCATTGAGGAAAAAAGTCAAAACAAAAAAAGGTGCCAAGTGGTACAGCTTTGACAGAGAAGTACACTAATTGACACCTCAACCCACCATTAATATTTAAAAATATGCAGTAACACACAGTTAAGATACACAGTAATATATAAACAGTAATACATAAATTGTAATTCATGAATCAAAATTATCACTGTGCAGTAATAAAGTGGTATTAACTAATAAGCCAGCAATTCAGGAAAAAATCCAAACTTGCAAATGAAACAAAATAAAGATTAATTTATCACATGTATGATTTTCTCACAAACTCAAATACCTCAATGCAATTTGATAAAAGACCTAGTATTAAGTGAACACAAATTTGACCAATACTTATGATTAATAAAGCAAAGTTTTAACTGTATTCTTAATTGCAATGCTTTTATTATTCTTGTTATTATTACTTATTATTAACTGTAAAGGTATTAGATGAGTTATCACTGAAGCACAAGAATGTTATGCCAGTCCCAGAAATAATCATGGGAAGACTAACTAAGGAGGAGGCTCTCAAGCAGATTCCCCTGTCAACAGATAACAGAACAGCTAGCAGAATTATTCAGGTAAGTTGTACTCCGCATTACTGATAAAAGCTAAGGTGGACCAGTTTCGTCGCAGTTTTGAGAAACACCCTAACATGATTGATACTTGAGAGTATTGCGAGAGTATTGCACAACTCTACTTCTATTACCAATTACTAGAAACAAATTTTAGATCACTGGAATTTAGGATAACAATAGCTTTATAAATACTGCAGCCACAACTCTCCTCAGCCAAGATCTAAATGCCTCTATCAACATGGCAAAGCAGCTTGCATCACATATTATCAAGGCAAGTTAAACAACATGAATAGTCACCCCTTCTAAGAACAGAAACATACATGCAACTTTTAGAAAGAAAAAATGTAAATTGCTTTTTTTACTAGAAAATGGATTTTAATACATACTATGCAGAAAAAATTACAAAATGAATGTTTTATGTAAAATAATATGAAACTACTAATTTTTTTATAAACAACTCCCATTTTAATTCAATAGCCATTTTTGTACTACTACTTGCAAAAATATGAACCAAACAACTAAATCATTTTATATACAAAACATTTTGTTTGAAAAGGAAATGAATACTTGCATACACTTAAAAATCAGCAATTATTTTAAATATTTTTTTAAAAAAAACCTAATGAGACCAGCACATACCCTTCTACCAACTACATATTAAGATATAAAATTGGCAGAATAACAGCAAGCTTTATGTGTTGGTGTACAAATTCATTCTTACGCTTTGATTTGAAAACACTGAATCGATCATAGTATATTCTCTGGTCATTCAGTGTGTTGGATTCACAAATCAAATGGCTTAACAATCACATAACTTTTTAAACCAGCATATCTCTTCCCAACACAGTGCTAAGTGCTGGCACACATTTCTTTTTCACTCTTTTCTCATTTTATGATATCAGCGTTCAGTTTTCTTAATATGATGACCAACTTTTCAGACTGGTGTAAAATCCATTTTTCTGCTTTGATTTAAAATTCTGTTTCAATTATAGTACATCCTCTGATCACATAGCATTTTGGATTCACAAATCGATGATTTAAAAATGACAAAATTTTTAAACCAACATGACTCTAAAATTCCAAACACAGTCTTTTCTCAGCTTATCTTTAGAATTAACAATAGAGTGTTAAATTTTGCCATACTTTTTTTATTTACTATACTATTTATATGTGTTACATTATGTCTTTAAAAATAATACTAAGCGATAACATTTGGTGCAGCATCCTTTTATTCGAAAAGTGATTCGAAAGAAAAGTGAAACAAATACTTAGAATTTGAAAAGCTTTGGATTATTTCATAATATATATATTTTTACCAAAGTCTCTTCAGAGTATCAAGTAAAGTATAACTCCCATTTAGTCAATTTTAAACAAAATCTAAGATGTTGTTCCACTGATAATATATATATATATATATATATATATATATATATATAAAAGAAACACAATAAGTTCCCCATGTACCCCATAGTATCACATGGGGCTTACGGAAATAAGTATGAAACACAATGCAAAATAAACAGAAGAAACTGAAATTAAATTAAGAATGATTACAAAGTTTTACAATGAATTGACAAAAAGTGTTAAAAGCACCTCTCTTGGAAAAAATTGGTAAAATTCTGGAGGCCAGTTAATATTAAAATTTTTAAATATTAATTTTAAACTTTGCTCTCATATTTAGGACATAAAAGAATCATATGTTCAACATTCTCCTCACCACCGAGGCTACAATCACAGACTCGGGGCTCAACTTAAATCTGTTCAAATAACTTAACTTTTGAATAACTTTTGATATAAAATTTTAAATACTAAACTTGGAAAGATTGGATTATATTTTAATACGAAGCCCATAACAGTTTTTAATGAAAAACTTTCATGGGCTTTCTGTAAAGTATCCTTTCTGGTTGTCCAACTTAAAATCTAGTCAACTCTTTATAAGAACGGTAAAACACCGAAATTGTAAATGTGGAAAATGGAATTTTTTTGGAAGTTTGACAGAAAAGTTATGATGGACCCCCCCCAAAAAAAAACCATCACACACATACAGATAGATATCATCCTAAAAATAGTAAATATGTTTTGTGGGGAACCTAATGTACACTTATTCACTTAAAACTCACAACTGAATTTTTGGACTGAAAACATTTATCTCCCTTACTTCTATATATAGGTTCGTGGCATTGCTTTCTGCTGATCAACTTAATTTTTTTACCAAAGTTAGGGACACACTTCAAAACAAAAATTGCTCAGTTAGTCAATTATAGTTCTGTGACAAGTAAAACTACACTCATTTCTAACTTTGTAAATAAAGCCTACGAAGCCTTTTAACATTCTCTATACACATATAAAAGAAATATTACAGTATTTTTACCGATTCTGTAAGGGCAGGATCTTCAGGACATTTGCTCATATAGAAGGACTTTATTCCAGCTGGGAAACGACATAACATAATAGGCTAATAAAAAAAGAAACAAAAATTTAGAGTGTATACTTTCTCAAATTAAATACAAAAATAAAATATTTAAAAAATTAAAAACTTACTTCATTTATTTTGTCTGTCATTTTTCGTTCAGGCATTTCTGGTATATCTTCACCAAATTCATAAAAAGAGCCATCATCTTTGGTTATGTTGTTTTCACGCAAATATTTTATTGCATCTGCATAATTCATTCTGCGGAAAGGTTTTTTAGGTGGTTTAAAGTCCTAGAAAATAAAAATCAACTATTTTAAATATTAAACATTTGTCAAAGGTAATACAGAAAATGCTTTTAGATTCAGAACACTACATTAGCTCTAAGTGCAATGAGCAAGCACAGCATATACTTTTCCTACACAAAGCAAAAATTGCACTGACTGAATATACATTGAATATTAGATAATTTCATTACCTACATGAGTTGGTTGAAAGTTTTTGTTTGACAGTATTGAAGTCACACATGTGCTGTATACCAGGTCCACAATGAGATGAAATAAAGGCCATGATTAAACTGCGAAATAATATGATATTCATTTGCATTCACATGAATGGAATGCTAGGTACGAATACTCATGACATATTTTCTATAAAATGCATCTAAAGCAGATCAAAATGCAATCATATTTTGGGGAGGATCCACATCGCATTACTGTTGTCCCACTTGCATGTTTGCAATGTACAATCTAAGGCAAAATTGCCCAGTTATCTGTGCAAAAGTATAATGCAACTGCCTGACAGTGCATTTTCTCCCATGAACAGCACTGTATAACAGAAACTAAAGGCCTAAATAAAGAATAACTCAGCTCCATAATCCAAATCTTTTGCTATATGATTTCTTTTAGTTTTGATCCACTTAAAGTGGAAGAGAGAATCCCCGAAAAATTTCTGAATGTAAAAAAAACTTCTCTTGTTCATTTTTCTGAAACAGAAAACGTACTGTTAAAAAAAAAAGGGTACTTTTAATTTAGCTTGTCAAAAGGAACATTTGTAGCAATATCTTAAACATCAAGCAAAACTTTGAAAAACATTTTGATCACTATAAATATCTAGCTAAGTTTTATTATAACTTTTCAATTTTCCTCTTTACAATAAACTAGTTAACATGTTTTAAAAGTTAGAATATTATCTACTCAAATTTCCATTAAGCAGATTTTACATTAAAATCCAAAACATTCCGATATGTACTTCTAATTATTCAGACTAATAAGGTAAATAAAATGCAACAACACAAAATGAAAGAAATTTGGTAATATCAATAAATCATTATTTACAAAGAGAAAAATTATTCTTAAAACCATTGTGGCAGATGTCTTGTTTTGCACCTACTATGTTTTCTGTTTACACATACTGGTGATTACATTAGAGAGGTTACTGTCAAATGCATCAACCACAGCACGGCGTCACGTCAGTACGATTGTAGCTGGTTCGACTTGACAATGAAACGTTTGGAGCAAATGTAATAAAGTGTCTGTTTGAAGCATAGATGTACAGATATATAATTTTAATATGTATTATATAAACATAAACCAAAAAGCTGCACACGAAGCAGAATAATTTAGCAAGGGTGCACTGAGATGGGGCAACGTGCTGCTGACCCCTGCTTTAAGGCATAAACTACATCATAATCTGTTAGCCCAATTAGTTGTCAGTTCTTCCCAGCAGACAATGTAATGACCAAATTACAATATAGATTTTGAACTGTTTAAAAAAAGTGGCAATTTCCTATGTTTCCTTCAATAGCCTCTTTTAAAACTGAATTTAGAATGTGTTCCAGAAAACGTACAAAGAAAACATGTGGGGCATATTCTATTATACATTTCTGCACACCACTGTATGCCCCATCACGTCTTTGCCTATGAGATATTTTTATATTCAGACCTTTCTTATAGAGCAATTTCATAATACTTACAAACATATTGCATTACATCCAAAATTAGTGAAAACAGTCAGGAATTTTGAAGTTAAGCTTATTTTTTACTTAGCACTATATGGTTGTAGGGCTGATATAATTTTATTGGTCATCAATGCATTCACAGGTATCACTCTTTATTTAATTAGAAATGAACTGAATTCCTAATGAGATAAATAAATACTCAGTTTGAAAAATGGAAATATAAGCATTCTTAGCATAGTTTAATTTTTCAGTTATTTTTAATACAGCCTCTAATATAAAATAATTAATATCCCCCCTCACTCAGTGCACCCCAAAGCTCATATGTCCCAGGGCACTGCCCCAACGGTAGTTTATAGCCCTAAACCTGACCCACACTCAGAAAATGTAGATGTATAATACAGTAGGAAACCAAGATAATAAACTATTGCAAAACATATTACAAGGGCTATCTGCTAAAATGAGTGCAGGACTTTCTAATAAAAATGAAGTAAATTTGAAATACCTGTTCAAAACTGCACCAAGTAATATGGTGCATAATCCCCCAACCTTTTTGTCCCCAACAGCATATTCTAGAATAGCTAATGGACCGCAGGCACCATTTACTTTTTCAAGGTGCATTTATAGTAGGACAGTTAACAAAGCACATAATAATACAAGCACATAAAAAAAAAAAAAAAAAAAAAAATCAGTCGCATTTCACTTTGTGCTGGTATCTGTGTTGGACGCAATTTCTATTTCATTAAAAATGAGAATACTTTCACATAGAATTTTATTCAAAAGTAAAACATTTTATTGTGATTGCACAGTGTTGGGCATATGTTAAAATGATCGGAGGGCTCCATGGTGCTTGCAGGCATAAGGTTGGGAAACACTGGTCTAGAACAATCAGACAAGAAGCCATATTAAATTTAAGTTAATTAATTTACTTTTAGATCAATGAGCAGCAATCATTCTAAAATCACAAAATGCATAATCTAGATTTCTAATTCACATTTACTTCATTTAAGCTTTCTTATCGAAATTATAGAAAATGTTCCTTATTCTGCTTTACTTATGCACATTTGGAAAAAAAGAAATCTTCTTAATTCTCAAGTTTAAACTCAAGATTCTTTCATCAGTTACTGAATAAAAAGCTTTCTAATAAAAAAATGATTATTTGCCATTTAAATCTTAAATTACAGTAAAAATTCGCATACCATACTATTGCTAAGCTTTCATCTAATAAGCTTGTGCATTTGGAAGTAATAAAACACTTTCCTTATAATTAAAAATGTATTTAATTTTGAAATTTATCGAATAGTATCAGCTTAGAAATTAATAATTTCATAATGTAAAATATAAAATTTGTAGTACTTTAGTTAAGGACAAAATGCATACACCTTACAGCTAATCTAAAATACATTTTACATTAAGAAAGCAATCAATAAATAATCATAGACTAATAATTAAAGAGTTAGAGCATTGATGTAATCTAGTAACAGGCAGAAATTATAATCGACCAATACAGCGACCACAATTTAAAGAATTTTCGTCGACATTCAGCTCAAAATTTAAATGAATTTCATGTTATGTTTTTTAAAATTTCCAGCACATTTTTTTTATAAATATTAGAAGTTTTCATAAATTCCTATCCAGATTTTAGGTGAAAGAACTTACTGGGTTAAACTCATATACAAGATGCCCAACAGGTGATTTTAAAATTCTGTCTACAACATCACAGATTAGATCTTCTATGCGATCGAGCAAATCATCAAAAGTAATGAATGGACATTCAGCTTCAACATGAGTATACCTAAAAGGATCAATAGATTTTAGCCTAATTAATTCATGTGATATTTTTAGTTAACAAAATGAATTAAAGGGCATGAGTTCAATACACATATCTAAAATACCCTTTCATGAATAGATATTAAACATTTTCATTCATATAATGCATGCGAAATAAGTTAATAAGTTTACACAGATATAATATCCCATAGCTTTAAGAAAAATAGATTTAAAAACAAGCTTGATAAACACCCACATTTCATGATGTAGGCAAAAAAGAATTAAAACAAATTCAAGAAAAGTATTAGTTTACATTTGGAAAACAATCTTTTTGATATCGATTATTTTGCTAATGGTTATAACTGTAAGTATCATACATATACCATACCTTCGCATCTATGGGGGAATTTTGACCCAGTGGCAAATTTATGAAATCGAGAGTTCACGTTAGCTGAACTCACAAATAAATGTGGTATTATTTTTAGATTTTAAAACTCGTGTTTTATTAATGATTTTTTATTAAAGCTTTTAGAAAATTAATAAATGGTTTAGGGGCTCCTTGCAACTCAGTCACAATCACAACCTGATCAACCCCATATATCCACCACCGTAACTTGCATTTTAAGTTTAAAATTTATATATCAAGAAACAATTTACCATCTCAAGAGACAATGGACCATCACACAAAGACAAATATAATCTTATGTACTGCATTTAGGCCGTTGTACACTATTTTGTATTATGCTCATCTGAGGGGACAAAATATTTGTAAGCAAAATGTATTGATAGATCTGCCAATGTTTATAAGAGGTTTAAAAAATTCAGAATTACAAAACAGTCACTAGTGACAAATCATGTTTAGGAAGACTAAAAAGAAATTTAGAGTAGTGTAACTGCATGAGATTTAGCTCAAACACTCAAGGGCATAGTTAGAAGGGGGCAAGAGGAGACATCTGTCCCCAGGCGCAACATCCAGGGGGCACCAAACTGATGTGAATTTCCAAAATGAAATGTTTTCCTTTCTTGGTAAACAGGACGGGGTCCAAAATTTTGTCCCCAAGCGCTGAAAACCCTAGCTACAGCTCTGCAAACACTGGAGGATTTTGTAAAATAAATATATACCTTTTTAAACAATTAATGCATACCCTTTTTAATCTGATGAATTTTTGTAAGTATCTAATGGATTATGATAGTCATTTGTAAACACATTACCAGTTCTGATAATTTGTTTAGTCAATTTTTCATTCAGTTGCATATAGAAATATTTCTAAGCTTTAAAAATACATGAATATTCATTCCCTGTCAAATTTAAATAAAATATGTTAAGATCTTACTCAGCAACATGCCGCCGAGTCCTCGATTGTTCTGCTCGATAAGACATCGCCACACAGAAAACATCACCTAAAGAAGGAATAACCGTTTCTAAATACAGTTGAGAAGACTGAGTCAAATATGCCTGAAAATAAAAGTTGATAGAAAAAGAAGAAAAAAAAATGCTTTAGTAAATATATACATAAATCAACATGCAAGGCACTGAAAAAGACAAGATTATAAAAATATGCTTCTTCAATTGTTAAACACACTGAAGCAGTTGAAATGCTAAAATTTTGTAAGACAATGTAACTTTTGTCGTATGCTGAGTACATAGGTTGTGGCAACACATAAATTAAAAACTAGTTTTAACCACTGTGCATCTAGCAATGAAATGAGAGCTCTACTTTTAGTATCTGTTAATAAATATTATGTTGTTGTTTTATTGAATCCTTGTCAATTTCTCCTTATATCTTCTATAAAGTATTATCTTAAACATTTAAAATGGTGACTACGGGCAATTAAAAATCATGAAGTTATTTTAACACATCTAGGAAATGCTAATTCATCTCTTTCACATTCTATTATTCACCTAAGCCTAATCTTAATTTCTATACTAGCTTGTGTTTTATAAGCCTGATATAAACATTATTATTTGTTTCCTATTCTAACACTGGATTATTTTCATTGATGTAGACTGCAGCAATAAAAATAACTGCTTTTGTCAGTCGTAATCCTATAAGATATTTTCTCCCTCCTTTCTGCATGCCTTCATGGTGTCACGGTTAGCACACTCGGTGCATATTCGAGAGGTCCAAGAGTCGAGTCCTGGTGAAGGCATTGCAAATTTTTAATGTCGTCTGGTTCAAAATAACCTAATGACTCTTCAATCTCATCTTGTGGCTTATATGTATGAAGCAACTTTCAAACTCACAAAGTCCAAAGTAAACACAAAATGCAATCACTAGGTTTTTCATCTCCTATGCAGGTTCTATGGACTGTGATATAATTTCAAATCTAATCAAGATTTCCTTAAACAAACTTAAGGAACAAATAATTTTTTGCTGCACTTGAAGTAACATTCAACCAAAAGACTCACTGCCTTTTACCTGGCAAATAACTGAAACGATTCGCAAGCTATAAGAATTGCTTTAGATGACAAAGCAACACTGATACAGTCACAAAATACTATTAATTCTCTGTCACTAGAAGTTTTTCTACAGCAAATGCCCCTTACTGTCCATTCCATGCTTGCATTCATCTCACTGTTAATGTCAGGCTGCAAAGTTTACTGGTTGAGTTATGGAAGCAATGCTGGTACATTCTGATTATGTATGTGCATCCTTGCCAAAAAGTCATAAACTTGTCACCCATTTTGGAGAGCATTTTCCAGCTTAATGGCAACCTTGAAAAGAAATGCCTATTTGTGTATCCTTACATCTATTTTAACAATGCATTCAGTGGCACCTATTCCTCTCCCTCACACACACAATCTTCTTTTTCTACATAAGACACACACAAACTCTTTGGAAGTATCCAATCAATAGTTGTTTGGGGGATAACACCAGTTCTTCTTCACAGAATTTCGCTGATATACATTCTTTTGCCCAACAATAAATAAAGTAAGTAGTTGCTGTCAATGAGATACGGATATCTTTGAACCAATTTCTGACCTGCATTCTAATTGCATTTCCATAAAATTTGGTTATTTAAAAAGTGCAATTTCACAGAATGCAAATTTTTGTCTTTTCTATTACTGGGTGAAATGTTATATTTTTTAAAAAATGCAATAATTTCTTTTTTGTCAGCAAACAAACTCCACAGTCCCATTAAGGTTTGTTACAAGAAAGTACATATTGCAAAAGGTAATGAATGCTACTCAGAAAAGTGATCACTGAATTTCAAAAGTGCGAATCTACATGTATTCATGCATAAAGCTATTACATATATACCTGGGTTGTCACATAAATATGAGGGCTATTTTTTTTTCAACCGCCGATGGGCTATAAAGAAAAGACGGATGAATATAAAAAAAGATTTTATTACCAAAAGTAATGTACAATACAGGTTATTTCTCTACATAATTATCTTGACGATTGAGGCATTTGTCATATCTGTGAACAAGCTTTGCAATACCCTCTTCATAAAATGTCCCCGTCAATGATTGGAAGTGAGTTGTGATGGTTTCTTTCAGCTCCACATCATTTTGGAAGCGCTTTCCGCCAAGCCACTGCTTCAGTTCAGGGAACAGATGAAAGTCACTAGGCGCTAGGTCGGGACTATACAGTGGATGTTTAAAAATGTCCCATTGAAATTGCTGAAGGAGCCATTGGGTTACACGAGCGCTGTGAGGACGGGCATTGTCGTGCATCAGAACAATTCCAGAAGTCAAGCATGCCTCTTCATTTGTTTTTGAATAGCTCTCCGTAAGCATCGCAAAGTTTCACAATACGAATCTGCATTAATTGTTGTTCCAGGCTGCATAAACTCCACAAGCAACACAACTTTTTGGTCCCAAAAAAAATCAGTTGCCATAACCTTACGGTTGTTAAAGGTTCGTTTGAATTTTGTGGATCTCTTTGGAGAATTTGTGTGCATCCATAGTTGTAATTGTCATTTCGTTTTGGGCGTGTCATATTGAACCCATGTCTCATCACCTGTCACAATGGATTTCAAAAACTCTTCTCCATCAGTATTGCAACGGTCAAGAAACTCAAACGCTGCAACCATTCGGGGAGTTTTGTGATCGTCAGTCAACATCTGTGGGATCCAGTGAGCGCAAACTTTTCTGTTCAGTAACGATACAGGGAAGATCTTGAAACTTCCAGAAAATTCATCAATAATTCACTTATGGTGAACCTTCGATTTTGCTTAACCGCTTGGTCAACTCGTTGAAAAATGTCGTCTGTAGCGACAGACTTACATCTAAGCCCCTTCCCCCCTTGCTTTCCATGCGCATATTTTTCAAGATAGCTATAAAGCAGGTTTGCATGTGTGCATTTAGCATAATTTAATGATTCATATACATGTTAAAAAGTTTTGTAGTATCACATACAGTACAAAATCCGTAATCCGGATGTCCATTAGCTGGAATGATCTATAATCCGGATCTCAAAGCCACAAACTTTTTTTTGTGTGTGTACGCTTTACATATGCATGTAATGTGTTTATGCATGCACATTTATTGTTATACATGCACGTTTAATGTTTATTAATCAGCTTTTTATCGTGAACACCTACCGGCTGATAGCCTATTAATTGGCTTTTTCCGCCAATGACTATTGACCAATAGCTTATTCATGTTTTTTCCCCCCGGGGCTACTTAAAAATAGCCTATCATTCAGTAACCATGGCGATAAATAACAGGGTTGCCACTCAAACAGGAGAATGAAATTCTCTGACTTTTCCAGGTTTTCCAGGTATGTTTCGAGAAAATTCCAGTCTATCCGCATAATGTACGTTGGCTGTGCTAAGAGGTCAATTAATTATGGTATTACTTGTACTGTGTAGCAAATTCACTTAATTATTCAATAAATCCCAGAGGACATTTATTCTTAATTATTCTTGGTACACTTTGATAATTTTGTTTACTTTTCCACTTAAGAAACTTAATAAAATTTAAGATATATACATTGGATAACAATTGTACGTTTTATTTAATTATTACTCATGATCATCACCAGTTCAACATGAGGCTAATCCGTTCTTATAAATCACAACGCAATGCTAAAAGTTAGGTTAGATTTTAGGTAAATTTAATTTGTGTGAGGTGTCTTCTTAAAAGGCACCTTAACACTTGAAAACACAAATATAATTATAATAGGAGTTGTTTTCTCCACTGAAGATTGAGATTAGAATCTTCCCAATCTGGAATAAAATAAGGCTTTTTTTTTTTTTTTTTACAGACATTCTGCAGCTAAATGAAAGAAAGAAATCTATTTAATGATATTTTTTTACTAAATTGAGGTATTTTATATTTATTTCACAGCATACATAAGGAAAAAATATGTGCATTAAATTTAATGATGTCATCATACTGCTAGGATTAATTTCAGGATTATGCCAGAGTAAATTTCCTGAAATTTGGAAATATTATTTACTAATGATAAATAAATTTAGAGGGAAGAAGCAACATTAAATGATATGAATAACATAAAAATAAAGATAATTACTTAAAAATTGAATTAGAATAATCAACGATATTTTTAGCAAATATAGTTATATTCCATGGTTAGCCTAGACGACTGATTACTATTTTTTTATTTTACTGCAAAATGACAAGGTATTTATTAAAAAGAAAAGGAAAAAAAAAAAGATTTTGCGGTAAAATCCTAGTATACGGTACGGCCTTCGCACGATTTTGAACAAAAGAACAAAATGACTCGTTTACTGCACATCATCATGTCGCCAAATCCTGCTGTACCATACATGGAGATTATTCTAACCAAAGAACGTTTATGTAAAGAAGAAAAGGTTCCATACACGTAAATGCTATTACGCGGCTAGAAAGCGGAGGGAAAATTCGCCAAGGCCAGAATTTCCCTCTCTGCGATGTGTACAGGAAATTGAGAAACACGTGTTAAGAAGAAACGTTTTTTGACAAAAAAGAAAACTACGAAAATCCGTTTTTAAATTATTGCGAAAAATCCAAGAAGAAACGTTTTATCAAAGAACGTTTTTTCTTGGATTTTTCCCAATAATTTTAAAAACGGATTTTCGTAGTTCCCCCCCTCAAAATAACTAATCCATGAATTAATTTACTTGCGCCAAAACGTATTTTCTTATCCTTTAGAGTTTAAAGAAATTTTAAACGATATTCATTTTATGAATTCTTGATAACGTGACCTTCGAACATTGACACCGTTTTCGAGCTTTGGCGACAGATATATCGCGCATGCACAGCTGTTTCCCTCTATGGTGGAACGGAGCCACGTCTGTTGCAGAGAGGTTTTCTTTCTTTACAATACATATTTTTTTATTCTAACCTTCATGGTACCGTTGGTCATGGTTCAAAACAAAACCCATTTTGTTTTATACGAGAACAGGTACTTTCTTTAGTTCATGCACTGCACATGCGATTCTCGAGGTTACTGGAAACCAAAAGTTGCGGGAAACTTGATTTGCCTTTCTAAAAGACAATTAAATTGGAGCTGCGAAAATTCGCTCTATTCCAGCTGCCTGAATGACACTCACGTGATACACAATTCGCCAAAAAAGTTATCTCTTCCGACGTCAGCGCAAAACTCGCCTTTTGCGGCGGGATCGTTGTATGAAATTCCCTGACTTTTCCAGATTTTGACTAAAACACTTAAATTCTCTGACTTTTCCCTGAATTTTTTGGTCAATTTTCAAATTCCCCAACTTTTTCCAGTTTTCCCAGTTTTCCAGGTAGCGTGGCAAGCCTGAAACAATTGCCATTTGCTTTATTAGGGAGAATCTGCGGCCGATTGGACGTCTGTATGCTTTTGAACCACTAGCAGTCGGTTAAGTGTTAACACGAGATGTGAAGATCAACTGAAAGAAAACATAAGAGTATTGTATTTAAAACATATATACACAGATTATCGTTTGATTGAGATATTAGACCAAATATTTAGCATCATACATACTGCTTGATTAACTAAACAATCGCCGCATTTCTCTATTTTTTCTTTAAATATGTTATTAAACAATTTACCACATAAATCACTTTTAGATGGGAGCTTATATCCAGGGTACTATATCTCCATTAATTTTATGAAAAGAGGATTTTCTATACTGCAAAATGGTAAATCTGTAACAAAAAATTTACCAACATGATGACTCTTTCAGATTTTTTATACACATACATTACAAAATATGTACCCAGATCATGCATCATGTGTTTTGAATTTGTGCACTAATCATCAGATTTAGACTTGAGACTAGACTAACAAGGAAATGACATACTTTCTCACATTGTAGTGGCATGGTTTGCTTAATTTATTATAAACTACAGTAAGACCCTGCTTAACGTGGGGGATAAGTTCCATCAAAGTAGAGCGTAATGCGAAACAGTGCTAAACGAGGCTATTTTAACATGTAAATAATTGGGTTTGGGGAAGATAGATAGAAAATTGGTTAGGTATTAAATTTAATGTTTTTTTAATAAAAATAAAACCAAACATTTATTTCTTACAAAAATAAAAACAATATAAAGGAATAAAATTCTCAGTCAGGTCATTCAGTCTATTCTGTGTTTCCAATTTGCTGCCTTTTTGTCAAGAAGGCATTATGATAGACTGTCTTAATGGCATATTGCATTCAATTTCATCGTCAATCCATATAGACAGTTGCTTTTCCATTTCCTCTATAATGTTATTTTTAGAACGGGTAATTCTAGTTGCAGAGCTTGACGTAGTTGCAGTTGTCGATGACAGTATTTTTTCTTCATCCTTAAGAATTGTCCTTTTTGTTGAAGTTGTCAAATTCAATTCAGCACTAATTTGAGATTGATGTTCACCAGAATCTAATCTTTTAATCACTTGCATTTTGGTTTCCAGTGAAATGCTTTTCTGGTTGATTTCTTTTCTTGCTTTTTATTATCACCCATGATAAAAACTAAAGATCATAATATTTGTCACTGTATTAATTGTTATGGTATTACATAAATTTATACTTACAATAATGTTAACAAATGTTTCAAATGAAAAAGATGCGTCCGTACAGCACCGCACCAAACAAGAACCACAACTACACTATTTCTGATATGTTATTTGGAAACCTAGCACAGCACACAATTTCGGGGGATTCCCATAGTGCTGCGAGCAATTTCGGAGAATCCCCAAGCTGAAATAAAAGAGCGCTAAACCAAAACAGCGCTAAACGAAACAGCGTTAAGCGGGGTTTTACTGTATTTTATTTTTTCAAACAGCTTCTTTTTTATGTTCGGTAATTAAAAAAATCTCTTTAAAAGCATTATATGTTATTTTAATCTTTTATTTTAAAACATTTCCCATATTTAAAAAAATATAAACGAACATCCTATTTTAATCGATGATTTTTAAAAAATCCTGGTGACATTAAAATGATTTAAATCACAGATTTTAATCATCTGATCAAATTTATTGATACCCTAGTCAAAACTTAATAAGTAATCACCATCATGTGACTAAAATAATGCTAATGTTAAAAAATACAGTTTATCTAAGTATCATGGAAGTTGCAGGGCTAAAAAAATAGTATGGTAATTACAAAAATTAAATGAATTTTTTTTCCCAATGGCAGATTGTGAACAGTTACAGTGTAACACAGTCCATTAATCTATACAAGGCCAGATGTGGTGGTCTCTTTATTATGAAGGCACCTAATAGGTGGGCCACCATCACCTCCTATGAAACAACCATGCCTTCTCCGGTATCGCAGGCCTTTCGGTATTGCAGTCAGGCTTCCCTAACCACTATACCGTCTGAGCGGCTATGAAATTAACTTTACAAAGCCAAAAAAAGATCCCAGAACACCAGTTACTAGTTAAATTACTGAAAACAAAATGAACTCATTATTTTTGAATTAATGATGTAAATGGTAATGATCAAGTTAATGATTTGGTGTAATAAGTATGCTCTGAATTTTATGCTATGAATTATTCGAAAAAAATTATATCATAATCTTATTCAAAATGGCAAAATAATTCCAAATAGGCATATGTTTAAAAGAAATTATTATAAAACTTACCTCTTCCCCAAAGAAATCTAATTTGAATAAAGTAGAACCACCTTCTACTTGAGCCTGAACAAGAGTTGGTGGTGTAACTTCTACGTAGTTGTTATGAAAGTAGTGGTCTCGAAAGCACCGCATAAGATAAGATCTAACGGTTACAATTTTTGACAACTGCAAAGAAAAGTATTTGTCATAAATTATGCAAGTACTTGAATTCCTAAGAAAACATGGTTAAAAGTAAAAATATCATTTTATTGTTTATGGGGTGCTAACTGCCAAATATATGCCAAAGCATCAAAAGTGGTAGCTTGTTATTTAACACATGCAAATGCTAAAGCTGTGCGTAATGCCAAATTTGTACAATTATTTTTTTTTAAAAGCAAAAAAAGACTACTGCATACATAAGAAGGACAACATTTTTGTTCACTCTAAATACACAGTGACCTGTATTTGATTTAAAAAATCAATCAGAGAATAGCACAAATTCAGTATCACGCTCAGCACTGACAATCAGCACATGAAATCTATTCATTCTTTTATATAGTCATATAGTCATTCTTTTCATGAAGCTTCATGTATTATTAGGGTTTCCACCATTTAGTTACACTTTATACCAGAATTTATCAGGGTTCATAGCCACATTTTAGATAAAAAAATAAGCACCTATAAGCACTTTTCAAGCACATTTTAAGGAAAAAAATAAGCACCTGTCTAATTACATTATACACAACTGCACAACCTTAAACATTAGACTAGTAATTTAAAATATGAGAAATGCAGTATTTATTAAGATAGAATAAGCATTACCTCAACCATGGAAAATAATTACTTTTTTTTTTTAATTTTAAATAACAGTTCAATTTTTACAGAACTAGTTTACAATGAGAGGGAAAAAAAAAAAACTATGCAGAACTAAACTATATTACAAGATTTAATGATGAAATTTCAGTTCAAAATAGAGAAAATAAATAATAAAAAGGCATATTTATTGTATTCGCTTGGAACCTAATAATAAATACAATTTATTTTTCCACTCATATCGATATTTAAATAATTTAAATCTAAATTCTGAACATTTTCTAAATTTTCATTGTATATCAGTTTTCCCTTAACAGATATTGCAAGCAAAGTAATTTAAGTAAAAAAGACAAACATTTCTGAAATCAGAAGACAGAAATTTGCTTCATGCAATCATCCTGTAACAGTAAAAGCATAACTAACCCGCATACTTGGAAATTGGCAAATATTCGGACAGTCGAGTGTAACTTGAAAAAGGGAAGCGGAGGGGGGCCTAGACTGTAGCCGCTCTTTAGATTTTTCCACTAAGTAAATGCTTTTGACATTTCGATATGAACATCATATAAAAATAAACCAATGGAACTAAAAAATATTCTGTTTAGCAAGCACGGTAAAAGAATAAAGAACTAAATAACTGGGGAGTTTTTCATTCTAATTTTCAACAGACGGCATTAAATTTCCGGAATAGAATCATTCTTCGCTTGGGTTGGTAGACCGCAGAACTTTTAGTCCTATTCAATCCAGATTGGAAATAACTAAAAAAAAAAAAAAAAAAGTCTGTTGCTAGTTTTCCAGCGAACTGTAACAGTTTCAATATTCGGAATTTTGCGGAGAAAGGAGAGAACCTCCCAATCTTCGTACTGTATAATGTATTGGCCAAAAAAATGAAATTATTTTGACTATTCGATTACTTTCCCTTTATTTAAGCCATTCCGAATATTATTCCTAAAAAGATAATCTGTGTTAAAACACAACCATTTTTGGAAGTTTATTATACTTCAGCAGTTACTGCAACTATGTTATTATAAACATTCATACATATAATATAAGCATAATGATCATAATAAACACGTATATAAACTGACCAAGCGGAACGAGAATGCAAATTATTAAGATCTTGATAGAAATTCAAACGTGTGTAGTATTTGGGTGAAAGGAAAAGAATGCCGAATTTACCGGAATTTTCTACTGCTTTCGCAATTCTTTGACCAATAGAATGATGAGCACCTGTCTGTACTCTTCGTGCACACCAAAGGTTATGTTAACGCAGAGAAAGGGGGAAAAGCTATTTCACGGAGTATGATTCACCATCTGACATCACCATATTAGGAAGAAAAGTTGTTTATTTAGTTTTGGTTTGATACGGGGAAAAATAGAGCGTTCATTAAAAAAAAAAAGCACTAAAAGCAAAAAATAAGCACTAAAAACAGAAAAAAAAAAGGGCTTTAAAGATAAAGTAAGCACCTATAAGGGCCTTTATATTTTTTTTTCAAATATAAGGACTTATAAACACTTATAAGGACTGCTACGAACCCTGTTTATGTTCAGTGTTAAATGGCATCTCATTGATAGAAAAGCCACAAAAAATCAGTATTTGAAGAGAAGTGCTGGAACTATATCTAGTTTCATAAAAACTTTGAAATTATATTATTATTAATGTAGCATATTTCTTATATTAACTAATTTTAATGCAATGTGTACATAAAGTATTAGAATATTACAATAAAAAAATTAATAACAGAGCAGAACAAAGAATTCCAATATAAATAATTCTGAAATCCATTCTTCAATACTTCCATAGGTTGGCATGCCATAATGGCTAAGATATCATGAAAATATTTTAAGTAAATCTTTTTAATTTGGATTTCAAGTGAGGTGACAAGCATGGAGAATACGAAGAATGCTCTGGTATTATCTTATTTTACTTAGAAAAGGAATTCTTAAATCTGATTCACTGATTTCATCTAAATTCCACATAATCACAGAAGACTTACGCAAACAAACCACTAAAATGAGAATGCGCATCTTTAAAAAATAAACAAAAAATCTACACTAACATTTGAAACAATATTAAATGTCACATATTATATATACATTTTACACATACTACATAATAATATTAAACAATTTTAAAATGTCTGCTCTGTGCCTCAGAGAGAATCTATGGGCCCTGGTAGTGTGGGCCCTAAGTATGATAGAGCAAAACAAGAAAATCAAATTGATGAATAGTTATGTTATTAGAAAGAAATGCATATTTGCTTGAAATTAAAAAACAGTGCCATTTTGACAGATGTAATAAATAAATAAAAGATGGCAGCTAAAACCCAGATAGCTAAATCCCACTTTAAAAGGTAATTTTACAGCACAAAAAACTACTGCAAAAGCATTTTTTCTGCATGTGAAATATTATAATTTTTAAATGATGAATAAAGGCATACTGCTTAATAACTGCATTTACAATGCAACAAAGTGGTAATAGTAAACTTTACATTTCTCATTATTAGTGCATCAACCTATCATCTGATACAATTATTTGTGACAGCACACTTTTACATTTCTAGTTATTACAATGTTAAAGTAACGTACAATAATCATTAAGGAGGAAACATGGTTCACATTGTTTCAAGCATATATTTCAATAACTTGAAAGGTATTATTTATGCATAATGACACTGCAATGTAAATGTATTTGTTGATGTTCAAATAAACACTGAAACGTTATCACTGTATACCAACACATAAGTAACAGTATGCACTTTCAATCCATTTTATCAAATATATTACTAGAACATTTATTAATTTAATAACTAAATTTAAAAGTACTTACCGTTTCACCTCGAAGCATTAAATGCCGATTGTCTAATTGTACATCAACATGTGATTCCTAAAATTGAACAAATTTATATTATTATACCAATAAAATATTTATAATTCATGCATAGATAAGAAATTATTTTAATTAGCTAAATACCATGTCATCATACATCTGCAGAAAGGAAGAAAAAGTTCTGCAATTTTTCCACTAAATCTTACTCATAAAATTTAATTTAATCTTTTAATTTGAAATCACAATATTTTAGGATCTTACACTGCTTTAATAAAAATCCGATTACTTCAGATTAAATTTTCTGTCAACATAACTACGATTTAATTGTACATACTATAATCAAATTAAGGTTAATAACTGCAAATAAAGCAATTTCAATGATCTGGAAACTGTAGGCTTCAGGAAAAATTCAAATGAGTTGAAAATTAAAAAAAAAAAAAAAAAAAAAAAAAAAAAAAAGTTAATATTAAACCAAGTTAACCAAGTTAAGTTAATATTAAACTGAGTATAAAACAGAGTTTGACAAAAATTTCGAGAGAATGAAATTCAAATATTAGGTTGTCAGAAATGCCATTCAAAATTTTTGTATGTTTTTCTGAGGCAATTATTTACATAGAGATCATCTAATAATATATTGCTCAATACCCTTTTGCTATTTCTCAGAGAGCTCCATGATTTCTCCTTCACAAAAAGACCTGTCTTTAATAGCAAAAAACTGACAAGGTCCTGATTTACAACCTCACCTCATTTGAACTGAATGTTAAAACTACAATAAATTTTGAAAACAGGAAACCAAGTAAACGATTGATAACACTAGGTCAGATGAATGTAGCAGTCATGGTAAAACATACCACCAAGCTCCAATGTTTTTTGCCTAGTAATCAAATTTGTATGCAATCTCATGTTGTCATGAAAGAACATAACACTTTTAGGATTAAAAAGCTATGACGGTTTCATTCAAACTGTGCAGCTGCCAAGAGTACACATTCAAATCTACTGATAGGTTGATAAGGTTCCTTGATGCCAATAGGTTGTTTGGTTCCTTGATAGAAGCTTAACATGACATTTACATATTATTATATATCCCAGCTTCTTCTGGAATATTTACTTGAATGATAGGCATTCAATGTTTCTGCAATCTCTCATATTCTGTAATGCAAGTTTGATTCAATCATGTCTTCTATTTTTGTCATCTTCAATCACGGTTGACCGCCCTGACCAAAGAGCACTGTTGAAATAAAAATCAATAGCACAAAATTTCAAGAAACATTTTTGAAAATGGTGTTCTCATAAAGCATTGTTACCACAAACTTACACAACTTTCCACCTTCAACTTGCAAAATCTTAAAAAAAAAAAAAAAAAAAAAAAAAAAAAAAAAAAAAATGTCCTCCTTTTTTAAGTAATAAAACTACAATTGTCATCTGTCAAATGATATAACAGTAACATAAATGTGAATGAGTCTAGTACTTCCAAAAATGAACAGTACCATCTGTTGAAAAATGCATCACGACTTCTTCAACAACCCAATTATTAAAGTTGTATTTATACTCTGCAAACTTAAAAATGCATATGCAATTTTAAAAGGTAGCATAAATCTCAAATTAACATTCCAAAATATTTTCATGAATTTAAATATGAATTATCAAATACAACTTATGCTCTGAAACTTAAAGGATTGATGTAATAGTATGCAAACCTGCATCAGGAAATTCACATGTGTACTTCGGGAAGCAGGTGTCCTTGTCCAATAAATGGTTTTCTACTCTTTTTTATGTTGGTAATTTTATTTTAATTATTTTGATTTCTTGTCAATTTGCTTTCTAAATTTCCCAAAATTCCTTTTCTTAAGATGTTTTAGTAATTCACTACTTTTGATTCATTTTTGTTTTTACATTACTATACCCAGGCTTATATGGATGACGAAACACAAATTGAGTAATTGAAGAGTTAGGTTTGGAGGCAACTTTTCCTTGATAAGATCTGTCTCCTGCCTGCTCAACAATTATTTACTATGCAAATCAATTTAGTCTTTAGAAATTTTTTATAAATTTTTTGGGGATTAAAACTTTTTGGAATATTATACATTTATTCATAGATTTTGATACTTGAATTTAATTGACATATGCTCTCAGAATTTAAATGATATTGTAGATTAGTTTGCAGCAATAATTAATCATTTATTTGTTTGCAATAAAAATTTCATAATTTAAAATTTTAATGAACTTTAAATTTGCTTTATACGAATAGAGAATGTTAGTTAAATTCAACAGACTTAAGCTGTTATATTGTATTTTTGTGAAGAAAGACAAGGAATTAAGGATGTGATCGCATGTTCTTGTGTCCTACTACCATGAGACAGCAGACAGTATCATTGTTGAAACTGGAAATTTGAATGAAAATATACTCCGGCTCAAAAAATAAGCAACAAAGATAATACATACAAACAACAAAAACCATTTAATGAATATTGAGGTGAAATTTGATCCAATAGGTTGGTGTAGCATGACTAGACCACATAGCAAAGAATAAAGCAAAGACATACAAAAACACGTGCATTACAACCATCACATCTCGAAAGACCAAATGGGTCAGGAGAATACAATGGAAACATCATGCTAATAATGGGTATGATACCCTCTAGCTGAAATCATACTTGACAATAGTAAGGCAAGTTGGCAATAGTGTCGTTAGTCGCTTGTTGCGGCAGTAGTGTCCATTCCTGTAGTAATTCATGACGGAACTCGTGAAGAGTGCCTGCACACTGCAACCTGCTATTCATTGTCCCAACATGTCCCACACATGCTCTAAGGATTCAGATCCGGTAATCTAGAAGACCACAGCAGATGTGGAATGGTTTCGCCTTACAGATAACTCAGCACCACACGAGCCCTATGTGGGCCGGTGCTATCATCCACAAATCTTGCGTTGGTATGCATTGCAGCGATAAAGGGATGCAAAAGAGGGTGTAGAATTTCATCACAATATAGGACAGCTGTGATGGAACCACTAGGAATCACGTAGAAGCCAGCAAAACTGTTCATTGCTATCCCAGCCCATACAAATAAGCCTTCTCCTCCATAACGGTCTCTTTCAATGATGTTTGGCTCCTAATAGCGTGTCTCTGACACTCACCATATTATTGCCCTTCAGGAGTGTTAAACTGCTCCCCATGAACCTCTAATTTTTTGCTCTATTCCTCATAAAAATATTCAAATAGCTGCGATCAAAGTAAACCTCAAACTATCAGCCAATGCTTTCCTGAATTGTTTCAAGGACTTTTATGAGTTCTAAGGCAGTTATTTTGATGAATAAAAGCAATGCCCTAGTATGTCCTTTAACATATTTTCTCTAGCATTGGATTTCAAATGTTTTGTACATACTTGTAATTTTCTTTTTAAAGTGCTCTAAAAACTAAGATGATACTGAATGAATTTCAGTAATTGATTTCTTGCTCATGTCAAAATTACATTCTCTAAAAATTTAAAATATGTTCATATATATATATATATATATATATACATGTGATATACCAGCTTTTGTCCGGAATAACTAGATTGATGAAGAAATATAGATGTAGTTGTAGCTTAAATTATCAGAGAAAAGTTTAAAAAACAGGATCTATTTATTATTGGTCAGGAGAAATAGCCGTTACAAAAATCATATTTCCGGAGTAAATAAAAAGAATTACTAATAACTTTTTGTATGAAGTTTACTGCATCATTACATTAAAGAAAAGACCCCGATATTCCTTTGCGAGTCGTTTTATAGCCTCTGGAAAGGTAGAGCTTTCAATAAATGTTGTCAGCCTCTTCAGCCATTCCAGTTCGCTTTAAATATCTCCAGAACATTCTATTACAGTAAGTGCAGAAAAGGCGAGAAAAACAACTTGACTACGGGGCTGTGGATTTAATTCCACGTACTTTCAAATAAGAGACCATCGCCATTAAAAATGAAAAGAACATACAGTTAGAATTTTAAGTGTATTCTTGACTATGGAATTTTATTATTACATACATATATATTATTATTATTTAGAGATGAAAATATTACCTCATTCAATACATTGTCAATACCGCCTGAAGGGGCCTCACCAACAAGCTGCCAGAAATCACACTGTAGTTCATGACCACCTGGAGCCTAAAAAAACTTAATAATTATTATTCATAAAAATGAATAAGGTAAATTTGGATTGACGAGTTTGTATTTTTGAATATGTTTAAGCATAAAAAAAAATCAATTTTGAATTACTTTTAGTCTTTTAGAAAATGTAATTAATCATGCTTTAAAATTATTCAATATTTAAATACTGTTGCAATTTTTTCATGCTTAACAGTTATATCATGCTTTAAAATTATTCAATAATTAAATACTGTTGCAATTTTTTCATGCTTTACAGTTATATAATACAAAGTCCGTAATCCGGACTCGTCGGGACTTCGGCAATTCTGGATTAGGGGTTTTTCCAGATTATAGATCATCAATTTAAATCTGGTAAAATGGTATGCAGAAATTATACAATTAAAAATATGAAAATGTAATTTATGAAATAAAAAGCAATTATGATCTAAAGGGTATCAAAATTTACCAAAAAAAAAGCTTAATATTTATTTGTTTACTTTATTAAACATTTCTTTCAATGTAAGTTGTTTAAGTTGCTTCAACTTTTATGCTAAATGTACATGCGTAAACATTAAACGTGCATGCGTAACAATAAATGTGCATGCGTAAACGCATTACACGCATATGTAAAGCATACACACACAAAAAAAAGTTTGTGGCTTTGAGATCCAGATTATAGATCATTCCAGCTAATGGACATCCGGATTACGGACTTTGTACTGTATGTGATACTACAAAACTTTTCAACATGTATATGAATCATTAAATTATGCTAAATGCACACATGCAAACCTACTTTATAGCTATCCTGAAAAATATGCACATGGAAAACAAGGGGGGAAGGGGCTTAGATTTTACAGTCACCAAAAAGGGCTCTTTTAAAGTTTAATATGGTTTATCAGTATAGATTATCAGTAGAGGTGACCCAAGTGGAATATTAAAACATTTTATTATGATACTATATAAAAACGATATGAGTAAACATTTATACTAACATGGGTATGTTATGTATATTTGAAAAGTGAAAAATACATAAAAATAGTTAATGTTTTTAATTAGGTATATCATGAATTAACCCCCCGAGCGTTACGGGTTTTTTCAGGAAACGACGTAAAAATAATCGTGTTTTCTTACCAGGTCTGTCGCAAAAGCGGCAAGCATTTTTACTCAAACTGCTTCAAAAGCGGGCCCCCCTTACCATGTGGATATAATTAAGCTAATTCTCCCCTCCGTTGAATTTAGCGAGTGAAATTAGTTTTTCTCCCTATGGTATCTTCGTCACGAGACTGGTTGCTAAAATAGTATTTCATCTCCTATTTGGCTACTTTATAATTTGCACACTAACACATATACTATGTATATTACTCGTACCTTAAATCAAGATATGTGCCGAATACAGAAAGTTAGTCAATATACATCAGTAAGAGAAACTACGTAAAATGCTTTAAAATTCCAGTTTCTTTAAAGAATTGCTTCGATAATGGTGAAAAATTAATCTTGCATTTTTTTATCCTTATTTTCTGAGGAAATACTTTTTAATATACAATGGGAATTTGTGAGAATTTTTTTCTCTCGTGTTCCAATTTTTCGAATACAAATTATTCGCAACTTATTTTAGTATTATGTTTATATTTAATTTTCAAATATTATAAGTTTATACCAGTTTAAAGTGTTAGATTTAAATAATTCTTTAGATTGCATCATAAATTTATTAGTAGTTAGTTATTTATGACACCGTTTTGACTTGTGAGAAATAAATAAAGTATTGTAATCACGAAACATTTCGATTTTCATATTTCAAAGGAAATTTCCATTTTGAATAGTTCCATCACGATGTTTACACGTACGTATCTCGCATAACTTAACATAAAATGTTGAAATTTTATATTTGGGACTTATGACTAGTTTTAGCGCGACGTATGTCCGTACGTATGTATGCATGTATATCGCATAACTCAACAGCAGAATAGATGAAGTGGCTGATGAATGAGATCAGGCAGTTCGGCTTTTATACAGTAAAATCACTTTGGGGGTAGAAAACAAGTAAACAGCTTGGACAAAGGAGCTTCTTGAGAAAATAAATGTATTTTCGAGTTACAATGCAATTTCCTTGTAATTAGCTATATATGAGTTACAATGCAAGTATTTATATACTACGTGCATTATCGAGATGTTAATAGAAATCAAAAAAAATAATAATAATTTATTTGTAGCAAAATTGTTAACGATAGTTTTTCTCCAAGACATTTATGCAGGTGTGTATTCTTTTCATGAATGATGAAAAATAAGTTAACAGTTTTTCGAGCAGATGCTCCAAATTATACAGCTTTGAAGATTAAGTAATGAAAGCAAACTCTTATTTCTGGTTATGTGCTGAAAAAGATATTACCCTTTTCGAAGAAAACACCTAATAGCGGAATCTCCAAGTTGACTTAGACGTAAATATACCTCCAGGGGGTACTGAACTAAAAGCTTACCACCTTTGTACATTTTCTACTTTATATGGGAGACCATTACCTTTGTGCAAGGACAAAAAAGCATCCGCTATCTTTCTCAGTTCTTTCATTTTGTTAACTATGACGAGAAATGGAGCTGCCGTAAATTCTAAATTTATTGCTTCTTCCAAAGACTCTGATTTCAAGTTGTGTATTTGCCGTCTGTTAGTAATTTAAGCTACCCTGGCTTTAAATTCAGAAACATCCTTTCATCAGTAATTACAGTACATATAAACACAATATCACTATTTAAATTCAGACTTTAAAAACTTCATTTATGTTAAACTATGGAAAGCGCAATATATATATATATATAAACTGCTTAAATATATATATATATATATTTAAGCAGTTTATTTCGTGAAAATTTATCACATTTTTCGTAGGAATTATTAAAACTGTTTTGCATGTAAACTATACATATATATATGTAAACACACATACAAAACACTGTGTATACATATGGTGATGTATGTTTGTGAGCATGTGTGCGCGTGTATGTTATATTTCCCTATTATATATCATATCAGTATTTTATTGAAAGTAGTTGTAGACAACATTTAATAAAAAAAAACTGAAAAGTATAGTAAATCTCAAAATGATAGTGCAATTATGAAACTGAATATTGCATGAAATCGAAAATTTATGTGAAGCTACTATGGAATGAAAATAAATTCTAGTTAGGTTTCACAGCATACAAAATAACACTTTAATCTAACCACTTGAGTAAAACGAATGCCAAGAAAATATCCTGAAAATGTATATCGGGAAAAAAAAATCTCCGGAAAAGGCCTCACGGAAAATATGCACCTGGTTAAAAATATCGCTAGAATAATAAACAATGTAAATATTTTTATCAGGTACATATACACATGCACCTTAAAAATATTTGTAATTTTTATACTTTGTAGAGATATATAGAGGATTCTTTAGTATTAAATATATTTTTCATTTATTTATTACAAAATATTCTTTCTTACTAAAAATATGCTTAATGATTACATCGTTTATATATCCTAATTAATTATGAATATTTTTTTAGTTTTTTGTTATTTGTGTTTCGTTTCTGAGAATTATTAAAATTCAAGCAATCTGAATTTTACACAAAAATAAATTCTTTCCTTAGTGACAAGTATAACTTTTGCATTAGAAATTATTCATAATAAATGCAATCTTGCTTTTTTGCCAACAGAATGTTTTGGCTTATTTGACTACATCAAAGCATACTAGAGCTGTCTGCCTAAGAGGAGGGTCTCTTCGTGGAGGACTTTTTAAAGGTTAGGTTATTTATTTACGGCAAGACCTCGAGGGCTATCTGCCTAAGGGGAGGGATGGCTTCGTGGAGGACTTTCTAAGGGAAACTGGCTCGTATACACGTTACACATGGTGAAAACCACGAAAACACCCATGCAGCCAGCCCGTTCGCGGGATTCGAACCTCGGACCGAACTACCAGTGTTCAGCGACTTTACCGCTCGGCCGCTGGTGGGCCCCAGGACTTTTTAAAGAAACTGCTCGTATATATGTTACATGTTACATGCGGAAAACTATGAAAACGCCCATGCAGACAGCCCGTTCTCTTAGAATCGAACTTAAGTCAGAACTCGGTATTCTGCGACTATTCAACGACTTTACCGCTCGGCTGACAGTGACAGAATGTCTGCTACCTATACATTAATCTACTACATAGGTAGATTTGTTTCCGAGAAATAGATGCGAAACAGAAAAGATATGCGAATCATATCCATCTCACTGAGATGAATGTGATCATTTTCAATGTACCATTTGGTAGTGCTCTATTTAAATGGTCAACGTGTAAGTTAAGTGGGTGGCCAAATACCAGACAAGACATTTTTTAAAGCATAAAGATAATTAAATGTATTTTAAAAATTGAGTTTGTAATCAAGCTTCGCTATCTAGGAATAAGATATAGCTTGCAGTTAAGTTATATTCTTTCTTAAAAAAATATTTCTTTTGTTCACCTATTAAAAATAACAATCAGCAGCGTGTGTTTTTGAAAATATCCCTAAATGCAACATAAATACAAGGCAGATTTCTTTAGGGAATCCTTTACGAAGACATTTTACCACTTAGGTGGAAAACGTTTTGCTAAATTAAACTCTAAATTTACAAAGGCGATTTTATGAGAAAACAGAAGGAGGACTCTACACTGGACTAATAATTAGCAAGTTGCTCATCAGTGAAACATGATGGCAATCTTGTATAAAATGAAAATCAGAACGATATTATTGCAAATTCTTCAACAAAGCATCTAACGTATTGCAAATTAAAAATTTAAAAAAGCGTTCTTTATTTTGTGAGTTTATCTGTGAAACTATTTGAGAAATAACCTCATTTTATCTTGTAATATTGGAAAATATTTTCAGCTGTCATTATCTATCACAAATTAAATACTTTGAATGTAGATTCATTTTAAGATGTTTAAAACATTATTTGTGTTCGTGCTTAGGGTGAAGAAATGTTTGTGTGCTGTGTTCATTCATAAGTATATGTATTTCGCCAG